GGGGGGGAGGGGGCGGTGGCAGTGGCAGTGGCGGTGGCAGTGGCGGTGGCGATGGCGGTGGCTGGGGTGTGTGGCTGGGGTGGCGAAGAATTTGCCAGTGGCCAGTGGCCAGTGGCCAGTGACCAGTGGCTGGGGTGGGGGAGGGGAGGCCGGCGTGGGCAAACGGCATGAGAGGGTGGAGGGGGGGGGGGGGGGGGCGTACCTTCTTCTGCTGAGGAATCCAGATATCGGCGGCCATGCCGGCTGCGGACATACGACGGTCTGCCATTGTGTGGTGTGTGTGAGAGAGGAAGAGGAGTGTGGAAACGACTGGCGGGTCGAGGTGGCGGTGGAGCAGGTTGAGGTTGCGGCGTTCGTTTGTTCCGGCCGACCATGTCAATTTGTTGGCGGGTCAGATGAGAAGCGTTTCTTGCCCGGGATGACGTCGCAAGGTTGGGCTAGTTGTGCTATTCTTCTTGGCTGATGTGTGCACAATGCGCTCGTTCTGATGCAGTGGTGATCAGTCCAGTGAGGAGACCATACATCGGCATCGAGCCATGTCGCTCCCCAACGATTCCTCTCGCACAAATAATCGATGCCGACGCCGATCCCCCGCAGCAGAGTGGGCTCGCCATGAACGACCAACCTGACCATCGCCCTCACCGTCACCCACTCCGACTCTTCCGCTGCTTCCGATGCGGTGATCATTCCAGTGAGGAAGTCATACGTCAGCATCGAGCCATGCCGCTCCCCAACGATTCTTCTCGTACAAATAATCGTTGCCAGAGGCAGAGGCCGATCCACCGCTCTCACGCCTCTCACCCCACATGGACCGTATCCTTGTCGCGCTTGTCTGCACGGTCCTCATGGCGTGCGGCACTGCTGCTAGCAACAGCGGGAGCTGTCGCCCTCTTCTCGGCGCCCCGACGGCAAGCGTCGTCCGCGGGCCAGTCACCTCGCTTCCGTTCTGCTGGGAGTACGCCGCCGACTCTTGCTGCGACGCCGAGGCGGCTGCGGCCCTCCGTCTCCGAGCCATGTCGATGCTGCCGGATACGCCGCCTGCTTGTACATCCATGCTCGCCCGCCTCATCTGCACGCCGTGTGCGGGCCCGCTTGCCGCAGGCGACTCGCCAGGCCTCTGTCCGGCGCTCTGCTCGGAGGCCACGCGTGCGTGTGTCGATGCCTTCTTCACGGCAACCTCTGCCGTTGCCCCGCTCGTGCCCTGCTCCTCCTCCTCGATCATCTGCTCCTCGCTCGACGACATCCTCGCCTCGCGCTCCACAGACAACCTGTGCGAGCTCATGGGTCTCCCGCTCGCGCCCTCGGATGATGACTGCTTTGATGCCACCACCATCGCCCACGCTCCCTCCAGCGACGACGGAAGCAAGCCGGCCGGCTCGCCCGGTTCGTCGGCAGGCGCCCGCGCTCGTGCCCGTGCCTCGCGCTCGTACCGCGGCTGGCGTAAATGGCTCAAGTGGGCCAATCTTGCGCCGCTGCTGAGTGCCATCGCCGTCATCGCCCTTGGTGTCGGCTTTTGGCGCTGGCGCAAGGCCGCTGCCCGCCCACTGTCGGCCAAGGAGATCCGGGCCAAGCGCGCCAGCTTTTACGGCGCAAAGGGCAAGGGCAAGGGCAAGGGCAAAGGCAAGGGCAGGTGACGGCTGTGTGTGGCAAAGTTTATGTGTTTCGGCTCAACCCCAGTGGCGCAAGCCTCGGCAGGCTGTTGCGCTCAGCGGCCGGTGCGGACCTGGCCGGCGGGAGCGCCACCCTTGCGCCAGTCAGAGGCGCCGTAGAGGATGCCCTTGTCGATGTCGTTGTAGATGGCCTGGACAATGGCGATGTGGCCGTCAGGCCCGAGCTCGTCGAGCTCGTAGCCAATGGACTCGCGGAGGTAGGTGACGAGGCTCTGAGCAAAGCCGTACTCCACCTGCAGCACATTCGGGTAGAGCTGGTCGTGGAAGCGTGGCGAGGCAACGGCTTCGCCAGCCTCCATGCCCCATGCAAACATCTTGAGGAGAGTGAGCAGGGTCGAGGTGGTGATCTTGGTCCCGCCCGACGCGCCGGCCACAGCGAGGACCTGGTCGTTGGCCGTCACGATGGTCGGCGTCGTCGACGACAGCGGCCGCTTGCCCGGCACGATGTAATTGGCCGGCGAGGGCTTGACGCCAAAGGCGTTGGTCACGTTGGGAACGGAAAAGTCGTCCATCTCGTTGTTGAGCACCACGCCAGTCACCGGATCCATGACCTTGGAGCCAAAGAAGAGGTTGACCGTCGACGTGAGCGCCACGGCGTTGCGCTCCGAGTCAACAACCGAAAAGTGGGTTGTGCCCGGTGTCGGCTCCATGTCAAACGCAGCGCCGTAGTACGAGGCGTTAAAGGTGGCGTCGGGCACGATCCGGGTCCGCACCCATGCTGCGTAGTCTTTGGACGTCAGGTCTGCCATGACTTGCTCGATGTCGGTGCAGCATGGGTCGCCGAGGTGGGTCCGCAGCGCAAAAGCAAACTTCATGGCCTCCACCACCTTGTGCACCACGTCGTGCGTCATCGCCCCGATCTTGGGCAGGTTGTACTCCTCGAGCACGTTGAGCATAAAGTTGAGGATCGCGCCCGAGCTCGGCGGCGGCGCCGAGAGCACCTTCATGCCCAGAAAGTAGGTTGAGACTGGCTCGCGGATGACTGCCGTGTAGTTGGCCAGATCGCCGAGCTCCATGATGCCGCCGCTGCCCTGGATGGCATCGATGAGCGCGTGTGCAATGGCGCCGGTGTAGAATGCGTTGGCACCACCGGCCGCCACAGCCTCGAGCGTCGCCGCCAGCTTTGGTCTCCGAATCGTCTGTCCGGCTTTGACCAGCTGGCCGTCGATCATGTACACGGCGGCAAACGCCGGCGACGCCTTAATGTACTCTTGGGTGTACTCGACAATCTTGGCGAGCTCGTCGGTGACCTCAAAGCCATCGTTGCAGAGCGCGACGACCGGCTCGATGAGCCGCGCCCACGGCAGCCGCCCGTGCCGCTGCCACATCAGCTCCAGCCCGCGCAGCTCGCCTGGTACCGCCACGGCGAGCCCGCCGACCTGCGCCTTTTCCGCCGACGAGTCAAACATGTCGCGGAAGGCCTTGGCAGGCGCGGTCTCGCGAAAGTCAAAGACCTCGGCGCTTCCGTTGGCGGTACGGACCGTGGCAAAGCCGCCGCCGCCAATGCCCGAGGCAAAGGCGTTGATGGCGCCGAGGCAGAGCGCGGTCGTCACCGCGGCGTCGGCCGCGCTCCCGCCATCGTCGAGCACAGCCGCGCCCATCTGCGAGCACGTTGGCTGATCCGCCGCCACCATGCCCAACTTGCTCTCCGCCTGGCGAATGCGCGACGATGCCGGACTCGCGCCACCCGCTGCCGCCGCCGCGTCATGGGCTGAGACGACAGCAATGACGGTGACAAGCGAGACAGTCAGCAGCAGACCAAGGCTGACCACCGCCACTCGCATCCTTGAAAACCGCATGCCACACAGGACACACACCGGTGGACGATATTGCGACTCGATCTTGCGCCGCCGTCCTCCCACCGCCATCTCATCCATCCGTCCGCCAATACCACGACCAGCAGAACGAGAGCCAGCAGAACGAGTGCCAGCAGAGCCACCGCCACCGCCACCGCCACCGCCACCGCTGCCTCCTACAACTCCTCCTCCTCCTCCTCCGGGAAGGAGAGTCAGGTCGTCACCTCCACCGAGTCCCACACCGGATGACCCGTATGATGATGATGCTGCCATGGTCGCAGGTGGAGTGTGTCGGGAGCGGGAGGGGGGTGACCGTGGACCTGGCTGCTCGTGACCTGTCTGCCTTGCCTTGGTTGGTTGGTTGGTTGGTTGGTTGGTTGGTTGGTTGCCTTCGGTGTGTCATTTGGCTCGGTGGCGTCATCAGGCATGCCATCAGCAGGCATGCCATCAGCAGGCATGCCATCAGCAGGCATGCTGTCGGCAGGCATGCTGTCGGCAGGCATGCCGTCGGCAAGCATGCGATGGGGCACAATGAGAGGGATTGGCTGGTATGGGGGGTATGGACGGTTGGGTGAAATGATGTGGATAGCATGTGGTGGTTCTGGAGTTTGACTCCCTGATGATGGTGGATGTCGGCGGCGGGTGACGGGGCAGGCGCAGGCTGAGGGTTTCGGCTAAAAGGCAGCAGGCTGGTAGCGGTGGCTGATGATGGTGGTAGGCTTGATCATCACTCCGCACTTGCTCATCCATACGACATTCTGTAGAACTCCATCTCCTGTTCGTCTCCACTGACGGCCATCTGTTGTACTCCTTCCCTTTCTGTACCCCCTTACCGAAACAAAAAACAACAGATCACACATTCGTATACTCTTCCTGACGCAGCCACCTAGCGACGTCGTCGGAGAGCGCTCGCGCCTCCCACGCGAGAACAGCCTCGTCGTGGGCAAGCTCATTGACGCTTGACCGCACCACTGGATCCTTGACGAGGCACAATGCCGTAAAGTGCTCGATCTCGGAGCTCCACGCTCCGGCCGAGTGCAGCATCGGCGGCGGCTCGCTGACGATGGCGTGGAGGACAAGGGCCATGGGCGCGCCGTCAGCGTACGGATGGCACCCGTTGGCCATCTCCACCACCATGACCCCAAGCGACCACACGTCGGCGTTGGCCGAGTAGCTCGCGCCCTCGATCCGCTCAGGCGCAAGGTAGTGGCCCGAGCCGGTCGGCGAAAGCTGCGCCTCGCCCTCGATCACCGTCGCGATGCCGAGGTCGCAGAGCTTGACCTGCCCATTGGCGCCGACAAGCACGTTGTCCGGCTTGATGTCGCGGTGCATGACGCCGCCGGCGAGCCATAAATCGCGCATCCCGAGCGCCACGCTCATAGCCACGTGCTCGATCACCACCTGCGATAGCTTGCCGCACCTCTGCGCCATGATCTGCCGCACCGAGCCACCCGCCATGTGCTCCATCACCAGGCACACATGCCAGTCGTCGAGATATGCGCCGAACAACTCGACCACATACGGCGAGGCCACATCCCGCAGCGCCTCCACCTCCATCACCAACTGATCCATTGCTCCCTTAAACGCCCGATGCCGCGGGACCTTCTTGATGGCCACCTCCTCGTCACCTATCCGCCTCCGCGCAAGCATCACGCTGCCAAATGCGCCGTGTCCGATCTGCTGCACGCTCGACCACTCGTTGCTATCCACGGCCACGCTCTATTGTCCGCAGACATCAGCACCATGACCGTGACCACAGCCATCATCACCATCGCCATGCCCATGTCCATGCCCACGCCCATTACCATCACTGTGAGTGACCCCCCCCTCCCCCTTTCCCCTCCGCGCCGAACAAATCCCGAGTCCGCTTACTCTCACGGCTTCGATGAGCTTCGTCGACACAGTGGCGACTGTGGCGACAGGCTGATGGAGCTCCAGGTGGAGACTTGGCGGACGTCGCCGACGACGGGACGGCAGCATAGATCGAGGGTTGCACAGCTGTCGGGGAGTTGTGCCGAGGTGTAGCTCCCTCCCGAGACAGGTATGGCCGTGCCCTGTCTGGATACCGTACGCTGTGTCGCATTGTCGCAATCGTCCGTGTCGCACTATCTTGCAGGCACACTATCGCCACTGCCTTGGTTTTTCAGCCTCCAGCCTCCAGCCCCCTCTGCCCACCGCCGCACTCCCCTCCTCCTCCCAGCAAAAATCTCCATGTACTTCCCTTCCTCCCTGCACATCTATCCACTGGCGCTGGCGCCGTTGCCGCTCATCATCGCCTCGAGGCACTGGGGCGAGCCTGGCTCTTCTGACCCACTGCCAACCGAGCCAGCCGAGCCAAGCTCGGCGGAAGTCGGCTGCGGCTCGACGAGTTGTGCCGGCGACGAGGCCCGCTCGGGAGCGAATTCCGGCACAGACTCTGGCGCGGGCTCGGACTGAGGTCCGGGCTGGGGCTGAGGTCCAGGCTCGTCGTCAAGTTCGACGATGCCGGCTTCGCGATCGACGCGCGCCTTGAACTGGCGAAAACGCGCAAAGCGGGCGTCAAATGATTGCATCTTGGCCACGGCCTCCATGCGGACGTCGTCGACTCGCACCTCGGCGGCTGCGAGCGCCTCCTTGAGCGATGCCACCGTGTTGCGCAGCTCGTCGATGACCATCGCACCCTGCTGCTTGTCGAGCTTGAGGCTCTGGACGTGAACCGCGGCCTGCTTGCTCGCCAGCGCCGCCTCGGCGTCAGCCCGCTGCAGCCCGCTCACCTGGGCCCGCAACGTCTGCACCTTGCTCTGCAGCGCCTCGTTTTCCTTGTTGGCTGCTGCAAGCTCCGCTGCCGTCTTTTCCTGCACCACCTTGAGCTGCATCGCGATACTCTCAGCCGCAAATGAGTTTGTGCAGTGCGACCATGCCCTTTTTTTGGCTTGACGGCTTTTTCCTGAACCACGACCTACTTTGGCCTGCTCCCCCCCTCCCCCCACCCCTCAACTGCCATACCTGGATGATCGTGTCCATCAGCGGCGAAGCCTGCGCCGAACCGCCTGCTCCGCTGCTGATCATGTGGCCGTGAGCGCGCGCGTGAGTGGCGACGGCTCCACCGCCGTACTCGTCGCCCGCCTTCCGGGAACAAGGGCGTGAGCAAGATCATGATCTACCTGCCCGCTCCCCCGTCTCGTCCAACTCGCCGCTCATCATGGTCGCGGCCAATGTTGCGGCCGCGATCATGGTCATGGTAGGCAAAGCGGGTAGACTGCGAGTTCATGTTCCAAAAAGCGCACCAACGCGGGAGAGGTGGGCTACCAGCTCCAGCTAACCATGCCGCTAACCGAGTGTCATTGTGATTGGCCAGAGGCGGCAAACGCAGCAGGGCTATGCTAGCTCGAGGCCGAGGCAGCGGAAGCTGCAGCGGCAGCCTTCTTTGCGCGTAGCTGCACAACCTCCAGCCGCCGCTCGCGCGGGTAGGACTTGTAGTCGAGAATGTAGCGCTGGATGAAGGGGACAGACACAAAGCGCCAGACCGAGTCGCGGAAGCGGTCAAAGACCACCAGAGCCGAGTGAATGGCGAGGTACTTGCCAAAGGCAATGAGCCCGGTCGGCGTGACTGAGGCCACCGCCTGCTGCGACTTGATGGCGAGAAAGATGGCGCCCATGTACGGGACGCCCGGCGGCGAGGTGGCCTCGACCTCGGCCACCACCGCGGCGTACTTGTCGGCGCCACCAGCAAAGGCCTTGAGCTTCTCGGCGGCCTCGGAGGCACCTACAGGGAGATTGGCCCACAGCTGCGGGGTGACCGACGGACACATCAGTCCGCGCATGACCGCCACCAGGGAGTCGTAGTTGTGGAGCTCCCAGAGCGCAACCGCCACCGATATCATGTACTCGAGCGTGGCCACCCGTGCTTGGAGCGTGAGCCCGCGCACAACCTCGGTCGCCACCATGTTGGTCACTCGCGAGAACGACTGCAGTGCCGCAGATATGTTGTGCGTCGCCAGCCGCGAACCGGCAATGCCCAGCGACGAGAGCTCGTCGGCCGAGATGGCGTCGAGGTGTGCAGATGCCGCAATGGTCAGCTGACGGGCGAGCTCCATAGGCTGGATCATCGACATCCGGAGCTTGACGTCTGGCTGTGCCGCGAGTACCACCTCGCCGTTTGACCGCGCCCAGTTGACGTCGCCCGCGAGCAGCACGTCGCCTGACGACACCGTCGACGCCGCACGCCGCCGCCGCGTCTTGGCCCGCTTCTTCCGGACCCGCTTCAGCTGTTCGGCGCCGGCTGAAAACACCGGCGCAATGTGGTTGTCGGTAAATGCTTCGAGCGCAGCCTCCGATCCGTCGTCGGGAATAAAGTCTTCAAACCGCTCCTTCTTCCACGAGTTGACAAAGATGAAAATCCGCTGCCGCGTCGGCCGCAGCACCTTGGCTCGCCACACTTCGGCGAGGCTTTCGTCCTCCGCCAGCGCTTCGGGCACCGGCCAGTTGAACAGCTCTTCCAGAATTCGAATGATCTCCACAGGCGTGGTAAACTGCTTGTATGTCGCCAGAAAGGCGTCCAGAACCTCGGCGTCTGGCCGCGCCTTGGCAAACGACGTCAACTCGCGAAGGAGCTGGTGGAGTGACGCTGCCACAATCCGAGGCCCGCCGTCTCTCAACGGCATGCTGACGTCGACCACAAAGTTCTCCGCCGTCGGCGGCCGGCCCACAATGTACGCCACCACGTTGTCGAGCCCGACGCCGCTGCAGCTTGAAGCGCGGCTCGTTCTCGACTCGGCTTCACCCGACTCTCCCCGACCGGCTCCTTGTCTTTGGCCGAGCCCGACCGCGCTCGTGTCGACGTCGCCACAAAGTACATGAGATCGTCATCATCGCCGTTGTTTTCGGCATCGTCGTCGTTGGCCTCGCTCTCGGCTTCGTCGGCCTTGGCCTGCGCGCGCGACTTTTTGAGCCGGTCCACAAATCGCATCACACCTGAGTTTTTGGACGCCGCCAACGCCTCCGAGTCCTTGCGTGCGCGGTAGTCCTTGAGCACGGTCCGCGGCTCCAGCTCGAGCGAGCGCTGGTACAGCGCGTTCTCATCGTACGCCACCTTGGGCTCGCGGGTGAGCCAGTCCTGAATGGCAGGAATCGTGATGAGAGTGTACGGTGACTTTTGGTACTTGATGATGTCTGCCACGACCGAGGCCAGCATCCGCCGCTTCTCGTAGTTGACGAGTGCAGCGTCGCCAACTGTGTCCGCGTTGCCGTCCTCGATAAAGGTCAGGTCGGTGAGGAACATGCCGAGGTACGGCACCGCCGGCGGTGTGCACGTCGCCAGGGCCATCCGCGGCGCCTTCATGTTCTTGTCGCGCGACATGAGCTCCTTGAGCTCGGCAAATGTCGCCAGCTTGCGCTCCGCCACACGGTCCCATGTCATCTGCAGCCGGTAGACCTCGGAAAACTGCAGGCCGGCGAGAATCTCCATCACACCGTTGAAGTTGTTCAGCTGCCGACACGCTGCGGCGACATCGATAAAGTGCGCCAGCTCCGACGCCCGGTCCTCGATTGAGTCGCGCGCCATGATGGTCGATGCCACAAACTGCGAAATGATGTTGAACTGGTTGATGAGCCGCTTCACGTTCGGCGCCACGCTCGCATCCTTCTTCTTGGTCCACATCTGCCCGAGGCACTCGGCGCGCACGTCAATTGCCGCAAGCAGCCGGTGCTCCAGCAGCGTCAGCTGCCGGGCGAGCTCCATTGCCGGAATAAACGTGAGATGAAAGTTGTCCGACAAGTTCGAGGCATCAATGAGCGGCTCCGGCGCCGAGTTCCGCAGCCGCACCTTTTCTTGCATGACCTTGAACATGTGCTGGACCACAACGTCGTCGCCGGCGAGCTCGGCTGCATCGCGCTCAGCGCTGCTCATCTCCTCGATGTGAAGCTTGTTCGCCAGCTCGGTCTCCTTCTTCTCAACTAGGCCCACAATCTGCTCGCCAAGCGTCACGACGCCTTGGCCTGGCAAAATGCGAGCGCCGATGTCGCGGACCGCCGCCAGCAGCGGCTCGTTCTGCGCAAACACCCGCTCAAACTCGAGATTGATCCAGTACCGGAGCACGTGCGCCGTCCGCGTCACAACCGGTGAGAACTGCGGGAGTCGCGGGTCCTCCACACGCAGCGCAAGCAGCCGCGCCATTGCCCGCGGCGTCACAAACGACCGGTAGACCAGGAAGAGCTCGCGGTACTCGATGCCGCGAGCTTCGGCGTCGCTGCTTGTCATTTCACGGACAAGCGTGTACGCCGTCGCCGCCTTGATCACAGGCTCAGCCGGCGGCTCGGCCACCACCACCGTGGCATTGCTTCCATACTCAGGGTCAAACACGCTCGAGCCGTGACTGCCAGGAGGGAGCGTCGCAAGCTCGGCTTCGAGCGCCGCCAGCGTCAGCACCGTCGGCTGCTTCACCCGAGGCGACGGCGCACGCTCGCGGACCCGCTCCGCAGACTCGTTTGCCTCGTTGATGCTTGCCTGGGCTGCCTTGCTGCTTGCCACAGCCGGAGGCGGTGTCGGCAGCTCGCGCCGTGGCGACGCCACTCCCGACGACGCCACGTCAAGCGTCGAGTCAGAGGTGGCACGTGGCATGGTTAGAATGCCAAGAGCAGGCGAGTCAGGACCGCTCTGCCCGTCACTGCCATCGCGGCCGCCCGAAGACCCAATGTCGTCTGACGACTGTCCAGCAAGCGCGGAAGCGGCTGTCGGCGATGACATGGCGACCGAGACCGCACGCGTCGGCCGGCGACGCGGCCGCCGACGCGGTGGTGGCGGCGGCGAGCCCTCCGACGTCGACGGCGAGTCCAGCGCTGTCACCAGCCGCGGCTCGGGCGAGCCGCTCGGCGGTGATGAGAGTTGGGCCCGAAGCGACGCAATCTCCGGCGACGACGAGATCATCATCGACTGGATCCGCCGCCCACGCGACCTTGACGGCAGAGGCGGCGGTGCACTGCCGCCCGGACTGGCTGCATCCGTCTTGCCCTCTCCAGGCACCGCTGGCAGAGCCCGCGACGTTGTTGCCGACACCGACCTTGGTCTTGTTGGCCGTTTAGGTGGAGCCGGCGGGAGCAGCGCGGCCCCACCGTCTCCGCCCGAGCTCATTGAAGCTAGTGACGATGATTGTGGCGAGCTTGTGGGCAGCGTCGACGTTGTCGTGGAAGAGACTTGGTCACTCGAGCTGAGCACGACCGAGGCCGGGCGAGTAGCCGGTCGCGAAGGCGGGACCGACATGCGGGAGGGGAGGAGGAGGAGGATGAATGGAGGAGAAGGCGGTGCAGCAGCAACAGTAGCAGCAGTGTGTGTTGCTCGAGCCTGTTATCACCTCCACAGCAAGGCCACGCACACACGTGCTCTTGCAGAAAGCGGGAGGGTAAACGGGTGGGGAGCACGGCGGTGGAGTCGTGCGGAAGTCGGCTAGCAGGGGGGGGGGTGACAAGCTGCCGAGCCAGAGTGTGGCGGAGATGGTGGTGCGGGGTGTGGGGTTTGGGGTGTGGTAGGGGGGGGGGGATGTATGCACGTGTGTGTGTGTATGTGTGTGTGTGTGTGTGTGTGTGTGTGTGTGTGTGTGTGTGTGTGTGTGTGTGTGTGTGTGTGACACAGCCGTCTGCTACCAACAGCAGTGTCTTGTTCCTCCTTCTGAGCAAGTGGTGGTGAGGTGTGGAACGGTCGTTCGGACGCGTTGTCGCGCGTCTCAAAGTGAACAACTCGATGGTGTTTGACTTCCAGGTCACCGGCCGACGCTGCGCGACGCCTGCTTGGCCTGAGGCTTGAGGTGGGAGGCGCGCCCACACGTGATGGCCGACACGTAGACGCCCGCCTGAAGGATGCCCGAGTTGCCGTCGCGGTGACGGACGCCTGGGAGCATGAGCGAGGCGCGCGAGGTGCCGTACAGCGACGATCCGGAGGTGCGGTGGGCGCGGACGGTGTGGAGCTTGTTGTTGACGACCGCGACGACTGGGAAGGAGAGCATGACAGAGTTGAACACGGCGGCCAAACGGGAGAGCGCGAGGACGTCTTGCGACGGACGAGCTTGCCGGTCGGCGTGGCCGCGCAAGTGGTGGCACGCCATCTTGTACTGGATTCTGGACGGCGCGCTCATCAACGCACACGCGCTCTACGCTCTAATGTCCATTTCGTACCGTAAAGGGGTAAGTGGGTGAGGAGCGATTCGTCGCTACGGCGGTGGCCAAACTCCACATCCCCATGTGGCGGAGACGATTGGCAAACGCCGGGACGCAGGAAAAGCACGGCAGAGGAAAACAAATCGTTGTCTGGCTAGACGTGCCCACTGCCCCGATGCGGTGACGAGAATCACGCCCCAGCCCCAGCGCTGTAGACGCCCCTTCCGATCATCAGGCAGTACGGGATGTGGGGCATTGTGGATAACATGGCAGCCATGGCAAGCCACAACGTGGTCTTTCGCCCCCATCCGCAGCGCAACCACTCATCACCTCAGCCGTATTGCGTACATCCGCACGCGAGAGACCTTGGCTAGCCATCCGCCTCGATTTCTCCCAGCTGCGGCAAGCGGAGCGAGCCAGGCGGAGCCGAGACCAACCTACCGCTACTCCACTCCCGCCACTCTGCACCGCAGCATGTACCCACGTGCGTACTGCGCCCGTGAGCGGGCAAAGACGTCGACCATGGATGTGGACTTGCGGCAGTGGGCAGCAAACAACAAGGTGGACGAGGCCAAGGTCTTCCCTCTGTTTGACTCGGCTGAGGCGGCCGAGGCTGCCGCTTTGGAGAGTCTCAAGTCGTCATCGAATGCCCTGTCGGATGGAAGCATGGTATGTGATCAAGAGATGGAAGAGGCTGATGTGGTAGAAGCCCGGATGGCGGCGTACTTTGAGCTCAAAGCTGCAGTAGCAGCTGCGCCAGCTCGCTCGCCGACGGGCTTGCTGCTGCCGATGCCAGGCCCGCGGATGCTGCTTCGTTTTCTTCGAGCGCGCAAGTTTGATGTCGACAAGGCGCTGGAGATGCTGGAGGAGGCTCGAGAGTGGCGGGCGGCGGAAGAGGCTCAGGTCATGCTCGACTTTGAGGATCCAAACGACGACGTGTACGACGAGATTACGCCGGCCATGTATCACGGCTTTGATCGGAGCGGGAACCCGTGCTACTGGGAGCGGACCGGCCACATCCGTATCCGCAAGGTCTTGCACGTTCTCTCGGACAAACAGCTCATTGCCCGGCATATTCGCCATCAGGAGAAGCAGCGCATCCGCATGATGGGCTTCCGCGACGAGTTCCACTGGCGTGAGTTCCTCCGCGACGTTGCCACCGGCGCCCCGCTCGACGGCTACCCACCACACGTCGACAGCGCCGGCTTTGAGCCGCTCATCGAGAAGCAAACCATCGTCATGGACATGGCGGGGCTCTCCATGCGGCCTGACAAGCGCGGGCTCGACATCTTCCGCGAGACGCTCCGCATCGACGCCAACTACTACCCGAGACGCTTGGTCACTTTTTCCTCATCAACGCCCCGTTCACATTTCGCGCGCTCTGGGCTACCATCAAGTACTGGATTGATGCCAACACCAGGCTCAAGTTCCACATCCTCGGCTCCAACTACATCGACGAGCTCGCCAAGTTTATTGCGCCCGAGAACATCCCGCGCGAGTACGGCGGCCTCTGTGACTGCTACGGCCCATCGGACCGAGCCTCCGACCCGCACTGCTTTCCGCCGGTCTCGGTTTGGACCGAGCCCGACCGGTTTGACATCGGACCAGCCGCCGAGGGCTGGTCCCCCTCGTTCCCGCACGGCCGCTCCACCTCGCTCATCGATGAGCGGGCCCGTCTCCGCCGGCCGCCGGCAGCTCTCGGCCTCGCTCCTGCCGTGCCGCCGGCTGCATCGCTGTCAGCCTCGGAAGTCGAGCTCGGCCATGCAGACACGGCCAGCTCGTCAGGCGCGGGCAAGAAGCAGCGCAAGCGACGGCACAAGAAGCGCCATAAGGCCGGCAAACGCAAGACTACAGGCCGTGCACGCTCATCACGGACCGCCACCCGCCGCCGATCGCGGACCCGCGCCCTTTCTCCCAAGCCGCGCAATGCATCGCAGTCGTCGTCGTGGTTCTCGTCGGACGACGATGCGGTCACCGTCTACTTTGACGCCGTCTCCAGCCTGTAGCCACGCAACGCTCAGCATTACATTCACTTTATCTCGGCTGCTGCGGCGGGTAAGCCGACGGCGGCGGGACGTAGGAAGGAAAAGCCGTCGGGTGCTGCTGGGCCGGCGGCGGCATAGGTCCCTGTCGCTGCATGCTCGGCGGGTGCATGCTCGGCGGCGGTGGCCCACCAAAGGCCATCCGCCGCGCCATGGGGATGACGTGCGGCGCCAGTGCAGGAGCCGGCGGCACGTAGTTGGACATGATTGGCGCCGGATAGCCAAAGCCAAAGCCTGTTGGGCGTGGGGTGGGCGGATGGACGTTCGCGGCAGTCGGCGGCGGGCCCGGCATGCCGTGGACGTGGCGAGTCTGCGGGGCGTGGGCAGGCCGCGGCGCGCCGTACTGGCCGGGCTGGATGATCGGGGCCGGGCGGGCCCGCGGGCGCGGCTTGGCGGTCTTGGACGGCCGCCCCGAAGGAGCAGGCGTGCCCGGCTTGTCGCCACCCCGCTTGCGTTTCTTGCGCTTCTTGCGCGCCGCCATCTCGGCCTCGTCGTCGGAAAAGTCGCGCTCATGATCGGCAACCTCCTCATCGTTCCACGAGCTCGCGTCCGAGCCCTGCTCCGCCATCAGCTCATCAATGCGAGTCACAAACTGAGCCCGCGACTTGGGCGTAAAGACCGGCGCTCGGAGCGCGAGCCCCGCTGCCGCCACTTGAGCCTCATCGCCAAACCGGACCGTGTAGAACGGCGACTGGACCGGACCCAGGGTCTCGGCCACAGCGCCGATGACCTTGCGGTCCTGGGTGCAGAGAATCGAGCCTTCCTCCAGCGGCCGCGAGAGCTCCAGGCCTTTGATCACCACCACAGCGTCGAGCTGCGACGAGATGGTGCCCACAAGCTCCAGCGGCTCGTCCGCCGCCACCGACACCGCCGACACGTCGGCCACCGGCGGATTCAACACCTCGTTGGCGGTCCGCGGCACCTCGGCGAGCATCTTCTTCCGCTCTTCCGCAGCCTGCCGCACCTTCCACTCGGCATCAACGTCCTCAAACCCGAGATCAGAGCCCTCGCAGTCGGACGCCTCCGAGTCGGACGACGACGACGACGATGACGAAGCCTCGCCCGACTCGGCGCATGCGCCGTTGGATGGCGACGACGACGACGAGAGCGATGCCACCAGTGATGGCCCTGGCTGTGCTGCTGATGTGGTAGACTCGGCTCGAGTCGCTGTTGGGGAGGCGATAGTGCGAGTAACAGGAGCAGCAGCTGCAGGCGCAGGAGCAGCAGCGGCTGTGGCCGCTGAGTCGTCATTGGCCATCACGCCTGCGGAGCGGGCCGGCTCGGTCGCGGCAACCTGGACACCTCCAGCTGCCAGTGACGAGACTGAAACTCGAGCAGTAGGCGGGCCAGCACTTGGGCTATCTCCAGCCAGGGGCACGGTCTCAGAATCGGCAGCAAGCCTGGGTTGGAGGCCCTCAGTCGTCGTGGCTGCCTCGTCCGCAGGGGATGAAGATGGCTCGGCTGCTGCTGGCGGTGCGGACGCATAGACCTGCGCAGGCTCTGTGTCGGCATTAACCTCGGTAGCAAGTGGACTAGTGGGGAGAACCTTGTCTGCATTTTCCGGATGTGTGGACGGATGCGCGTCCATCGCACTTTCGCTCGCCATGGACCTCGGTCTGTAGTGGAGTGCTGCGGCGGCGGGCCAGACGGCGGTGGCGAGCGGGCGTGGGTTTGAAGGAGGGGGTGGGTGAGTGTGGTTTGTTGGACAACAACAAAAATTGTACTATTTTTCTCGCCTGGAGAGCTGCACCGCGAAATGTTGCCGCTAGAGAAGCGAGCCGGAGCTGTAGCTGGAGACATGTCGCAATCACAACCGTCTGGTGTTCTGGCAGCATCTATCTCTATCGGCACGCACCTTGTGTCGTCAAGCGGCGGGCTCATGTCATCGTCGGTTTGTACAGGCCGTGGCCGACCTCGCCCAGCTAGGCTGTTGATCGAATCAGCCAACACCTGTCCCACCTTCTCCCCCCCACCATGGCCAAGCACCTCCGGGAGTTCTCACAGCAGGAGGCACTCACCACGCGACTGGCAAACATTCTGGAAGAGTATCCGCTCTCGGTCGGTTCTACCGTTGCGGAATGGGCTCAGAATGCGGATGATGCTGGGGCAAGCGTCTTTGGCCTGGTGGTCGACGGACGAACTGCAAGAAACGACCTTCCATTGACGCCATGTGGCGGCGAAGCGCTGCCAGACATGATCGAGATGGCACGCCGACCGGCGCTGTATGTGTACAACTCGGCCCAGTTTTCAGATGCGGATTTAGAGAACATTATTTCGCTCGGCAACTCGATGAAGCGCGAGTCGGGCGCCTCTATTGGCAAGTACGGTCTGGGTGCCAACGTCATGTACTCGTTCACTGACACGCCGATGTTCATCTCGCGCTCATCGCTGGTTGTCTTTGATCCGCATGGCCATCGGCTGCCCGGTGGTATGCTCGGGACTATCACCGACTACATGGCGTGCGGCCTGGCCGAGTCGGACCCGGTCCTGGCCTCCGCCTTTGACCTCGAACTGGCTGGCGTGTTCTCAGCCTCGCTCTCGGCCCATTTTGATGGCACCCTCTTCCGGCTCCCGCTGCGGACACCCGAGGACGCGGCGGCATCGGCAATCTCATCGCACGCGCTCTCCATCGACGATGTTACCAACCTCCTCTCCGACTTTGCGCCGCAGGCCTCGGACATGCTCCTCTTCCTCAAGTCGGTCTCGACCGTCTTTGCCCACGTTCTTACCGACGACGGCCTCACCACGCTCATCACCACCGAAATTGTCGGTCTCGGCCCAGAGCTCGCGGCCAAGCGGGCGTTGCTCCTGGATGTCGTTGCCGGCGAGCGTCAGGCGCTGCACGCCTCGTTCGAGCTGAGATTTACCGAGTCGTCGGACATCCTTGCATCGCGACCGGCGCCGCGGTGGTGGGTCGCGGTTGGCACGCTCGACACACTCGATGCTGACGCCGAGGCTTTGGCCAAGGCTGTGGGCTACGTGCCCTGGGCCGGGACAGCGCTACCGCTCCACCAGCTGCCGCCGAACTGGCACGGCCGGGCGTACACCTTTCTTCCCCTGCCGATCACTACCGGCTTTCCTTTTCACATCAACGGTGCGTTTGCGCTCTCGGCCAATCGGCGCCAGCTCTGGCGCGGCGATGCCGAGCTCTCGGACGCAGCAGCGACAAAGGGCCGGTGGAACAGCTTTCTCCTCAACACCGTCCTCCCTAGCATTGTCATCCGCGCGTTTGTCGACTCCCAGGCAACGCAACTGGCGCTCGATCCGCTCGCTCACCTCCCAGTGCTTGCCAGCACACCACCACCGTTTGACGACTTTGCCCATGCGCTCTACACGGCTGTGACTAGCCTCGGGCCAGATGCGCCGGCATTGTTCCCGGATCCGCGCTCGCCTGGCAGCTTCGCGCCGCTCCACACGTTTACGCTCATGGACCCCGAGTTTGCGGCAACTGCATCATCGCACATGTTCACTGCGCTCATTGCTGCGGATGTGGCACTACTTGCACTTCCGACGCACGTTCAGGACGCGCTCGACGCACTCGACGTTCCGCTGCCGACAACGTCGCCGGCGATGCTGGCGTCGGCGCTCCGCCGGGTCGTTGCCGTCGATCCCGCGCTTCTTACCCGCGACGTTGCCGTCGCCGCCCTGAACTACGTCCTCTCGGGCGCGAGCGAAGAGAGCGCGTTGGCGCGACTTGCGTGTCTTGACGGCCTTGCCATTGTCCCACTCCGCGGCGGCGGACTGGGAACTCTGCGCGTCACCAATGCACCGCACGCCCTTGCTGCGGCAGCCTTACCTTTGGACGAGAAGCGGCGCGAGTCCAAGGCCGAGCGGGCAGCGCGGCGGCGGGCGGCGCGCAAGGCCGAGAAAGCTGAGCGCAAGGCCAAGGCCAAGGCTGCCAAGCGGCGGGCGCGCGGGCAGGAGCTAGAGGCCCGGCTCGAGTGCGGACTGGAGCCAGCACCAGAGTTGAAGGGCAGCATGCCGAGCTTTATGCCAGACACAATTGTCCTCCCGCCCCACCCGCAGTTTCTGGGGCTCATCCCTGACGATGCGGCGTGTCTAGACATGGACTGCCGCGCAGCGGCTGTGCTCGCGGCTCCAGCGATATTGGCTGTGACCAACATCGTGCCGCTGGGTCTCGAGTACCTCACCCGCTTTGCGCTGCCGCGCTTTCTTGATGATGCGTTCCTGGGTATGGGCATGAACGATGCCCTTGTACTCTCCGGCTTTGACGCGGGTTTGCGCCAGCCGTTTGGCCCGCGGTGGCGCAGCCTGCGTCGTGCTGAACCCCATGCCGCAGCCACGGGGCGCGAGATCCTGAATCTGGCGTGGTCGCTCCTCGCGTCGCTCCAGCTCTCGACGGACGCCATTCGTCGCGCCTGCGCTGGACTGCCGATGGTGGTCACAGGCCAAGGCGTGGCAATGACGCTTGATGCGGCTGTAGCACACTTTGTGCTTGCACCCGACGAGCTTGACCTAGCTGGGGAAAGCGCAGCCCTTGCGCGCGACTTTGGCGTCCTCTCGCTCGCCGCAGAATGGGCAGCCGAGGCTGCACTGGCAGCACAGCTTTTGCCGGCACACTGGTACGACGACGGCTTGCTTGCGCTGGCTGTTTGCGTTCCACGCGGAGCATGCATCGACGTTGTAAGTGATGCTGACGCAGCGGCACTCTGCCTGGCTGCGCGCGACACTATTGCCAACTGGGCCAACGCCGATGCCTCCGTGCTGCATCCGCAGTTGCGTCCTGAAGGTCTGGACCGACTGCCGCTCTTCGAGTCACTGGACGGGAGCAGCATGCTGGCGTCGCCTCGTGCAGACCCAATGCGGCCGCTGCCTCTGCCGCGCGGCGAGGGCTGGGCCATTGCGCGCAAAAGTCTTGCCGCGCTGGCCGGGCTGCGCATCATCAAGACCGACGGCTCAGCGCGGACCGTGTTGGGCTTGGTCGGAGCGGGCACAGCGGACTTTACGACGTTCATGCGGCGGGTGCTCTTGCCGCGGCTGCGGAAGCTGCCTCGGGCGGTGATTGAGGAGCATATGAGTGTCGAGCTGGCGGCTGCGATATTCGATGGGCTTGTGCCGGTCATGGTGTTGCCATGGCAAGGCGACGACGCGGTAATGAGCATGGTCCTTGGGCTCCGCGGCGTCCCGCTCCTGCCATCCTCCTCGGGCTGGCGGACCGCATCCGAGGTCCACGACCCAGACTCGGAGCTGCTTGCGCGAATCGAGAGAGCCGCCGCTGCCAGCACGGACGGCTCCATCGAGCTTGTCTTTCCGTCACATGCCTTCTCCACGCCAGGCGTTCTCACTGTCCTGCGAGCTTTGGGCATGACCGACCTCACGGCGCCCGAGTGCATGTTTGCCGCGGCCCGGGCGGTAGCTGAGCTCCGCGACGCCGAGCTTGCGCGCGAGTTTGTGGCGAGCGTTGTCCAGCACGCCCGGCAGTGGCCAGTCCACCAGTTGCGTGAGCTCGGCGCGATTGCTTTTGTACCGGCGTACGACTTGCGTGGCGCCGAGATGGTGCCGACTCACCTACTCCCGTCGCTGCCGTTCAACGCGGTGACCTCGCTCGAGACACAGGCTTGCTTGGGGTTCCAGGCTCAGAAGTATCGCGTCGATGACTTGGTGTCAGCGCAAGTGTCTCGGCGTCAGCCGAGCGGGGCCCACACCGTGCGATTCGACGACGCCCTTGCGCGGGCGCACGAGCAGCTGCGCATGGTGACAGGGAGTACCAGCGCAAGCGAGATACCGAGCGCTGTGGTCACGTTTGTGGCTCCAAACGAAGCATCGATCCTTGCGATGGACGCTTCGGTCGGCTTCCGCAAGGCGCTGGTACTGCCGGCCGAGCTGGATCGGGCACCGCTGCGCATGCTGTCGGCGTGGGGAGTGCCGCATCCACCGCCGGCATCTGTGGTGGCGAGCAACCTCACGGATTGCGTGGCGATGTGGGCGGAGAACGGTGTGAGAATGCTTGCGAGCCACAACAGACTAGCGGCCCGCAATGCCGAGGCGTATGTGCACGGAACGGTGCTTCTCCATCTGGCGTACTTGGCACGATACCTGGCGGCGATGACAGACATGAACTGGGTTGCGGCTCTGGCGCCGGTGCCGTCGGACAAGTTTGGTGTGATCAGAAAGGGCAGCTCTGGCAAGCGGTGGCTCATTTCGCAGCTGCGCGCGCTGCCGGTGGTGTTTGTCGATGGGGGCTCATCCATACGTCCAAGGTGTACTCGGATCTGGAGCACGATCTCGCAGATGACGTCCGCGCACTACCGAGCTCGTACCTGCCGGTCCAGGGCCTGCTGGAAGAGCTTGGCGTCCACAACTTGGACCACGAGCCACTGATCCTACCGCGGGTGACAGCAGAAGCACCAAACACGCTACTGGGTCCGATAGTGGCGGCGGCGTTCAACGACGCGCGGCTGGCAGATGTTGTGGTTCGGAGCAGGAGCGGGCGCGAGTGGTTTGCGCACCGGCTGGTGCTCGGCACGAGCTCGGCGTACTTTGCGTCGGCATTTGAGTCGGGCATGTGTGCAAACGAGGGTGGCGTGATTGCCCTCACGACACCTCACTGGGCGTCAGACAGCGCGTACGATGCCATGATGCAGCACATGTACATTGGCGACGGTTGGTTGTCGGCGCTGAAGGAGACGCTTGAGGACGTCATGACTGTGACTGAAGTCCTGCGGCTTTCGGATGTGTACATGCTGCCGCGGCTGAAGCAGGTGTGTGAACTGTGGCTTGCGAGCGGCGAAGCGGTGGCGATTCTCAACCTCTGCACACTGTATGCACTTGCAGATGCAACCAATGCAGTTCAGCTGCAGACAGCCATCGCATACCACATGCGACAGGTCCTCCCCGCGCTGATCAAGACCGACGATTGGGGTGAGCTGAGTGATGAGCAGCAGAGTCGAATCATGCACTAGCTATAGCCCCAAAGTGATGACGTATGTGTGTATTGTGGAAACTGCGCCGGATTGTGCTGAATTGAAGTTGCTGCAGGTGGATGACGTGTTGGCCATGTGGAGCGCCAGACCGCCGGTCGCCGACCATCGGTTGCCCGGCTCTGGCCGAGACCGAGAGCCACCCAACTCGATCCACACACGTTCCACGAGGACATGCTTGGACGGGCGATTCTGGGCGGACGGCGGGTTGTCCAAGGCGGTCTGAGGCATGGCATGACAGGAAGCACGACGAGGCGTGTCACACGAGGCATGTCGAGCTCGTTGGGTGCGGTGGGCGCGGTGGGGAGCGTAGGCGAAGCCGTGAGCAAGGTGGCCGACGCCACGGGATCGACAGCGCTGGCAGCAGCGGCGACGGCGACGACGACGGCGATGACAGATGGCGTAGAGGGCGTGGAGGGGAGTATGCTTCGGGACTCGTTTGGAAGGGATCATACGTATCTGAGGATCTCTCTGACGGAGAAATGTAATCTGAGGTGCACGTACTGCATGCCCGAGGAGGGCGTGGAGCTGAGCCCGGCTGCCACCATGCTCACCGACGACGAGATCGTGGCTCTGGCAAGCTTGTTTGCAAAGGAGGGCGTGGAAAAGATTCGTTTGACCGGCGGCGAGCCGCTGGTGCGGAGGTCGGCAGTGGAGGTGGTGGAGAGGCTGGCAGCCATTGAGGGCATCAGTTCTGTGGGCATGACGACCAACGGACTGCTCCTCCGGCGCAAGCTGGATCCGCTACTCGAAGCCGGGCTTACGGCGCTCAACATCTCGCTCGACACGCTCGATCCGCACAAGTTCACGCTCATGACGCGCAGACTCGGGTTCGAGCGGGTGATGGAGGGCATCGAGCGGGCAGCGGACTCGGCGCTGCCGACGATGGTCAAGATCAACTGTGTGCTCATGCGCGGGGTCAACGACGACGAGGTGCTGGACTTTGTGGAGCTCACCCGCGAGCTGCCTGTCGACGTGCGATTTATCGAGTACATGCCGTTTGACGGCAACCGGTGGAACGACACCAAGATGGTGCCGTACGCCGAGCTGTTGGAGACGATCCGCGGCGCGCATCCCAGCCTTGTGCGCGAGGCGGACGCACCGAACGACACGTCAAAGGCGTGGCGGGTACCGGGCTATGCTGGGCGGATCGGATGCATCTCGTCGATGACCGAGCACTTTTGCGGGAGCTGCAACCGGCTCCGGCTGCTGGCCGACGGCTCGCTCAAGGTCTGCCTCTTTGGCAACACCGAGATTTCTCTGCGCGACGCGCTTCGCGCCGGCGCAACCGACGACGACTTGCGGGCGCTCATTCAGGCTGCAGTGTGGCGCAAGAAGGCCCGGCACGCCGGCATGCACAACATTGCCAAGGGCCAGAACCGGCCGATGATCAAAATCGGCGGATGAGCGCTGTTGTCAGCTCGAGTCTGAGTTGTCGTCCGTACTCGAGTCTGACGAGTCTGACGACGAGTCCGACGAGTCCGAGTCTGACAAATCAGCCGAGGCGGTGGCGTGGTCGTGGGCATGGTTGTCGACCGAAGATCCGTTGAGCGGGATAGGGGCACCTGGCAGAGCCTGGTTGGTGTTGTGGCGGGCAGCGCGGTCCTCGTACTGGCGCTGGATGTCCGGGCGGAGCTTGGCGCGCATCTTGTCTATCTTTTTGGCCGGGAGAGAGCCGATGCCGTTAAAGGCCAGGTCCATGAGCGCGTCGCAGTCAAAGACGGAGGCCGGCATGTCCTTGACGCGCATAAAGAGCTCGCCGCCGGAAATGAGCTCGCTAGACGCCATGGCCATGATCTCGGGCTCAAAGGAGCGGACAAGGGCGAGGGCAACGCGGAAGAGTATTTTTGAGCCCTCGTAAAAGAAGGCGTCCCAGACCCGGAGCGTTGTCTCTGTGGGGACGGAGCGGACGTAGAGGCAGAGGAACCACTGCGAGGAGATGAGCTCGAGTGGAATGCCCTCGGCCTCAAAGATGGGCGGCAGCGCGGGCATCTTGGCGGCGACAAGCTGGGCAAAGACCTTTTGGTCGACCGACGAGTCGACCATCGACCGCGAGTAGTATTGGGCCGGGAGAAGGAGCTCCAGAGTGGCGGCAAGGAGCCAGAAGGCCTCGTCCTCGGTCATGCGCATGAGCATAAAGGCGACGACAAAGTTCATGGACTGGCAGTAGCCGACAGCCTGGTTGCGGATTGAGTAAGCCACCAGGACCCGGCGAAGCTTGGCCTTGACCTCGGCGGCGTCGAGCGACGGGTGCTTGGGAAAGGTGCGGTCGAGGTCGTTGTCGATCTGGCGCATGGCCTCGGACGTCATGCCCTCTGCCTGGGCCAGCACCGTGGCGTAGGCCTCGTCCGGACTTGCGGCGGCTCGCAGCTTGGAGGCGCCTGATGTTTGCAGCCACACTGCAGGTCGCCACTGTTGCGGAATGCCAAGCCGGACCATCTTTTTCAGCTCGTCGCACTTTGCAAATGCCTTGGCCGGGTCGATGGCCGACTTTGCGGTTGCTGCTCGTGCCTTGGCCGTCGCCTTTGCGCGGGCCTTGTCGGCCTTTGCGCGGGCCTTTTCGGCCTTTGCGCGGGCCTTTTCGGCCTTGGCCAACTCCTTCCTGGTCTGCTTGTCGGGCTTTGGTGCCTTGGACTTGGACTTGGCCTTGGACTTGGCTGGCGGGCCGGATGCTTCGCAGCTGGCCTCGCCGTCAGCCGAGGCGCTGTAGGCGTCGGCATCGCCGCTGGCCGACTTGTGTGAGACCGGGGTGCGTGGGGTGATCGGGCTTGTCGGTGTCGTCGGCGTGGCTGGGGCAGCCACAGCCGTGCTGTCCTCACCATGCGGCTTGGCCTTGGCCTTGATCTTGCCCTTCTTGGCAGCATACGCGTTCCACCTGAGGACCCGCTCCTGCAGCACGTGGGCATAGCTGGCGTAGAAGGCAGCCTCGGCTTCTGCATCTTCGGGCGAGAGTTCAAAGCCGTACATGTCACGCGGGATGCCGCTTGACGACCGCTTGTGGCCATTGCCAGCGGCCAGGGTCAGCTTGTCTGCGGCATTGCCGTCTTTCTTGCTGGAAACGGCACCGTTCTCTGGCTCGGGCTCGGTCCCACATCTGTCATCGGGGTCGGACTCGGGGTCGGGGTCGGGGTCGGGGTCGGACTCGGGGTCGGGGTCGGACTCGGGGTCGGGGTCGGACTCAGGGTTGGGGTCGGACTCGGGGTCGGACTTGGGGTCGGGGTCGGACTCGGGGTCGGGGTCGGCCTCGCCATCAGCCTCGCCATCAACCGTACTTGCAGCCCCAGCGCCAGCCCCGGCCCCAAGGTCGTCGTTGGCAGGCGTCGGGTCACGGCTACCCGCAACATGCTCTCCGGTGACCATACCCTCACCACCACCACCACCACCACCGCCACTAACAGCACCACCACGGCTGCTGCTGCTGCTGCTGCTGCTGTCACACACACTCATTCACAACAACACACAGTCCACAGAGACTGTAGACAGGCGTGGCGAGTCATGGTCCCAGTCTGTTGTTGGCGGAGCGGTTGCGGTTGGTGGGTCGGTCGACTGGCTGACTTTGGCCGGGGCAACGCGTGCACACTCTACTTTGCTCAACGGCAAGTTTTGTGAGAAGCAGCAAGTTTTGTGAGGAGCAGCCAGTCAACTGCAGAAGGGTATTACCACAGCCTTGCTTGTTCATGATGTGGGTGGGTGGTGGGTTTATCGACGGCTAGCCGTCGTGGGGATCAGAGTCGATGACGGCGCGCGAGTCCTGGTTGAAGAGGAACTCGGCGAGGTAGTCAACTGGGTCATCGGGCCGGGCTTTGCAGACCTCGATGAGGCCCTCGGTGAGGGTGGGCATGACGTGGGTCATGAGGAACTCGCGCAGCGGCTGCGACTGGAGCTCAAGGACCTTCTGCTCTTCGGCGCGGATGACCTCGTTACGGGCCGTCCACTCGGCGTCGCGCTTGGCCTCGGCGGCGGCGGTGGCAGCCGCCTGGCGCTGCGCCTCCTCGGCGGCGGCTGCAGCGGCGGCGGCAGCAGCCTCAGCCTTGGCAGCAGCACGCGCGGCAAGCTCCTTCTTGGTGGGACCGTAGTTGTGAGGCTTGCCGGCGAGCTTCTTGACAGCGGCAAGGACGTCAGACGGCTCGGTGGTCTCGTTGATGGTGATGTACAGCGGGAGGATCTCGCGCGAGTCGAAAAAGTCCCACGCGTTCTCCTCGTCGGTGTTGGCCTCGCGGAACCAGGCGAGGCGGCGAGCGACGCCGTCCTCGGTCCAGTGGGTGCCTGTAACCTGTGCTTCAGGTAGCGCCCGCATGCGGGCCTTGATGAACTCGTCGTCGGCCTCGAGGATGACGACGTTGGTTGGAAGAATGTCCTTGGCGACACCATCCAGGTTGTCGTCGGCGACCGAGGTCGACTCGTCGTCGTCGCCGGCGGCGAACAGCTCCTCGGCCTGGGCCAGGGTCTTGGGGAAGCCGTCGAGGACAAAGCCTTGGTTCTGGCACGGCATGGAGAAGAGCTTCTCGCGGAACATGGCAACGAGCAGGTCGTCGGGAATGCGGCCGTTCTCCGACTCGGCCCGAGCCTCACGGATCTCGTCGAGCATGTCGGCATCGGCCGGGTCCTGCGAGGTCGTCAGCTTGGCGAGGTAGTCGGAGATGACGTCTTCGGTCTGGATGTGGTGGACCTTGTACTCGCGGGCAATGCGGGCGGCGTAGTACGACTTGCCCACGCCCGGCGGGCCCTGGATGTAGAACATGAGCGGCGTGAGCTCGCGCACGGTCTTGAACTCACGGATAACGTCAAAGATGGCCTCGAGGAGACCGGTCTCGGCGTGCCACACAAAGTCCTCCAACTCGCGGATAAACGACGGCTCGAGGACAACATCGAGGTGGAGCATGTCAAACTGCAGCGGAGTGAGCTCACGGACAAGGACCGGATCGTCGCGCTTGACTCGCTTAATGGCGCCCGAGCCCAGCGCCTCGGAAATGGTCGAGACAAGATCCATGGCCGACATGCGGCCGTCGTCGACAGCAAGCACGTAGGGGATGTCAGGCTTGAGGGCAACAACTTGGGCCACGACCTGGGCCAAGTCGAGGACGTGGATGGCCGGCAGCGCGTTGCGGCCACGCCCGATGACCGGCAGCTGGCGAGGCGAGCCGTGCCATGCCATCTTGAACAGGTAGTGGAAGACGCCCTCGCCGCCGCCGTACACCAGGCCGCGGTTGATGATGACCGCGTTAAAGTTGGCCTTCTTCTTCGACCACTTGGTAGTCAGCTTCTCCACATACAGCAGCTCCTTGTGGTTCGGGTGCGCCTTGCGACGCTTGTAGTCCTCCTCGATGAACGCCATCTCGTCGCCGTCACCTTCGTCCGACCGCCCGGTCTTGCCCCAGGTGAGGACCGACGAGAGCGCCACAAACATCTTGGGCCGCTCCCAGCTCTCGGCCTCGTCAGCCAGCGTTTCGACCAGCCACTTGGCCTCGTTGACGTTGGACACGAGGTCATACACAATGACGTCACACTGGCGGACCTCCTCAAGCAGCGCGTCGCGAGTGATTGTCGACGGCAGCACCCGCGAGACGCCCTCGGGCACGCCCGCGCCCGGCAGCTCTCCGCCTGGCAGCACCGCCGGGCGAGGGAGTGGAAACGACGGTGACGCCTCGGACCGCACCGTTCCGATGATCTCGACCTTGGCCGGCAGCGTCGCCTCATCAAAGCTCGGTGCCCCCGCCTCTGAGCCGTACTCGGCCTCAGACCCTTCATAGCCGTCGTTGTCACCAGCTCCGGCCGAGCCTGCCGGAGAGCCACTGCCATCAGCGCCGCCTGCCAGCGCCGAGTTTTGCTGGCGGCGACCGCGGCCCTGCGGCTCGTCATACTCGGACATGGAGTCATCGAGCGGCAGTGCACCCGGACGAGGATCACGGGCGTACATGATGCCCGTCAGAGCGGAAGCCACATGATGACCAATGTACGAATCCAGCTCGGTGACAAAGACTCTCGGCGGCATGACGGGCTGCTTGACGACCACTGCCGCCACAGACTCTGTTGCAGCCGAGCCGAGCTGACTCCCGGCATCACCCGCATCATTTTCAGCAGTGACGACGCCATCGTTATCGTTGTTGTTGGCAGCCGCAGTTGTAGCAGCGGTGGTGGCCGCCGTCCCATTGTTGTTGTTGCTGTCGCTCCGACCAGCCTCGTCGGTCTTGTTCTCGCCGGCCATGGCCATGGTCGTGTTGCTCTCCATACCACGGTACGCACTTGGTGGTGGTGGGGGGTGGGGGTGTACTTGGTGGGCGGGGTGGTGTTCGGGGTTGGTGGGTTTGGTGTATGTGGCGGTGGGTGGGATGTGGGGCGGTGAGGTGCGGTGTGGCGACGGTGGCGGGTGTCGCCGTTGTGCCGTTGCCCGCCCAACGAACGACCGAGTTCGTACTCGACGGATGGACAGTGCGGTGTGAGGGGGGGGGGGGGGGGAGGGGGGTACTTTTTACGGGATAGCGCCTTCAGCCAAGTACAGTTGGTTGCCTGCTCTGCCTGCTCTGCCTGTTCTGCCTGCTCTGGTTACTCTGCCTGCTCTGCTTGATCTGCTTAGCGATCGTCCGAATACATCTCCGAACCCGAGGCGTAGGAGACGTCGTCGTCCTCGCCGCGGAGAAGGGCATCGCGCTCGTCAGTGGCGTCTGCGCGCTCGACAATGTCGTCGCCGGCGTACTCAGCGGCAGGCTGCGGCGGCGGCTGCGGGGGCGGCTGCGGGGTAAAGTGGGTCGGCTGGTACTTTTGGCCGTAGCCGACGTAGATGCAGGCGGAGGAGCGGCCGTTGGCGTAGGCGTAGGCACCCGGCCAGCGGTTCGACTGCATGAGAATGGTGGCGTAGCGGGTGGCAACAGCGGAGGAGTAGCGAACCGACCATGCCGGGAAGGCCCCGATAGGCTCGTCATCGGCGAGCGGGGTAAGGAGCGGCGGGCCAAACTCGGGCTCGGGCGCGTTGGCGGAGAGCATCGACTCCTCGTCAAACTCCGACTCGTCGCGCGAGGCGTCATCGCGAGGCGGCTCCCACCAGAAGCAGCGGCCCTGCGGGAGAATGAAGCGCTCGCGGTGGATCCAGCCGGCCGGCTCGCCGATCTCCTCGTTGTCTGCGACGTTAAAGTCCATGTTGGAGACGACCGAGACGTTGTCGTCATCCTCGCCGCCGTCGAGCGACTCGAGCTCGGCGGGGTCGACGTAGCGGCCGGCGGGAGCAACGGCGGTGGCGGCGACAATGCGGGCAATCTGGGCCCGGAGGTAGTTCTTCTCAGTGCCTGGGAACGGCGGGTACGACTCGACCGGGGCGTCGAGCGAGCCGGTGAAGAACTTGGTGATGGCGCGGGCAGCCACAATCTGCTTGGGCGTCACGTCTGGCAGCTTGGTCCACTCGCCGCCCGGGAAGGAGCACACAAAGTACGCGTACTTGTTTGCTCCCTCAAACTCTTCCATAGGCGGCTGTGGCGGCGCCTTGTGCTGCGAGGCCGGCGGGACAAAACCGTCACCACCAGCCTCGCCAGGCTGGCCGTCGGCGGCGCGGCCACCGCGAGCCGAGTAGTCGCCGTCGTACTCGTCGTAGCCCGAGTCTGCGGCCCGTGCGTCGGCGGCGGCGCCCTCAGGGGCATCAAACGGCCGCTCGCCGTCCTTGTACACTGCCTCGACGACATAGTACGGGGCCTTGAGGCCGTAGATCTTGCCAAAGAAACGGATCCGCTCCAACGGGTGCGACTCAACAAGCTTCTGCATGGCGAGCATGACCTTGTACATCTCCATCCGCCCGAGCGAGATACCGCACTCTTCAAACCGCCCAGCATCCGCCATGACATCCGGCATAAAGCCCTCGTTAAACTCACGCGACGACGCATCATCGTAGCCATCATCATCGTCAGCAGTGACCGTCACCCGATTGGGATCCTAAACTCGGCCACATACGCCGTCATCAACCACGAGTGTGTGAGTTGCATGCCAGGGGGTGCTTGGCGGGGGGAGGGGGGGAGAAGGGGGGGGGGGGAGGGAGGGGGAGGGGGAGGAGGACCACGTCAGGTAGCGAGAGGGTAGAACAGCAAGTAGCAAGTCCAAGTCGGTATATCCTTGGTAGGGGCTCGGTATGCGCTTGGTAGTCCTTGGTATGGTAGTGGTGGTTGTGGTGGGGATGGTGGTGGTGGTGGTAGTGGTGGTAGTGGTGGTGGTGGGGGTGGGGACTGAGCCGTTTTTTGGGACGATTCGTTGGGGGAATGGCGTGGAGGAGGGAAAACGGGTTTAGGTAATTACTAAACCCTTTACCGGTTTCCG